GCCGTCGTCGTCGCTGGTGCTGCTACCGTTGGCAGAGGTTCGCAGAGCTGTCCACCTCGTGGCAGTCGACACTTCCTACCGGACGGTGGTAGTGTCCAGGCGCGCTGGACACACGACGAGTCGCAGCCGGTCGCCGCTGCTGCTGCCGTTGTTCATCGAGCATAAAGATTAAGAGAGGTACGAGCAGCCGGGCAAGAAAGCGAAGGAGGAGGAAGAAGAAGGTGTGACATCGCCGTGGTGAGACGTTAGTGAGAAGCTTTCTTCGATCAAACCGCGATTCGCAGAGGACCGGGGAGAAGAAAGGAAGGAAAAAAGGAGTGCGACGAACCCCCTGGTTACCCTGACACGCACGGGGAACACACACTCGTGCACGTAGCACCGGTAGACGCGTCGCGTCGCCGGTAATATAGCGTGTACGCTTTTCGTTTAAAGGGTTTCTTCCCTCCTACGAGGCGCTGTAGGAGTGCCGCACGCGGTGGTTCCTCTTCAAAGTCGAGTTCCCCGTCGGGGTGAGAAGTTCCGCGTCTGCTGCCTGTCGGCGAGCTCTACTCGCGGTAACCGACGCGCGACGACCACGCACACGCGGCAAAAACAAACTCCGTCGTATGTCCTCGTCCTCGGTGCTTTCTAACCGCGCGGCGACATGACGCGAAGGGGAGACAACGAGAACCCGTCGTTCCTGGAGTAACGTCGACCCGTCACGCTTCCCAAGAAAGATCGCGCGTGTCGAACGGTGCAGCGACGCGGGTCGCTAACGACTGTTCCTTCGCTTGATGTTACACCGTCGGTCGACGCGTCCCGACCAACGGAACAGTGACGTCCCGAACGAACGACATCGAATGCGACCGATCCTCCGATCGACGAGGTGGCGAGAAGAGAGACCGGCTGAAACAAGGAAGAATCGCTCGTTGTTGGTGGTTGGTGCTGAGTGTGCTGGTGGTAACGACTTAGATTCTAGCCGGGTCGTGGTGATGCCCGACCGTACCGGCAGTAGCTGCAGTCCCAGCGACCTTCAGCAGCCGCGATCACCACGACGACGCGGTGCTACTACGACGTCCGGCGTCCCGAAGGACGTCGACGCCGATCAGGAACTGCTGTTCCAGCGGGAAGAACCGGCTTACGTGGTACTCGATGTTCAGCCAAGGCCAGGCTGCGCCGCCGCCGCCGCCTCCTCTCACAGGGGTCAAAGGCCAGCCAGAAGACGAACAGGCGGAAATGCGATTAGGATATTCCTCCTCGCCGCTGTCGCTGCCTTCCTCGCTATTGCTGTTTCTCCGGGTAAGTTTTTATATTTCTTTTCTTCTTTGAGTCCTTCAGCTTTTATATCGATCCCTTAAACCGCGGACCGTTTGAATCGCTAGCGTTTCGCGCCCGAAAGTGCCGCTTAGTCGGTACGCCCGCGGCACCCCATGCTTGCGAGCACGCTCGCGATCACAACTTCAAAATTTTTACCACATTGGACAAAACCCTTCCATTACACCACCTATATTTACCTATCCATATTTAAGTCCCCTTTTACAAAGAATTTCAACCGCTCGCGGCATTCGAATAGATGGTCAAACATCCAAGATATCTCGAAAATATGTGTTTGTTGGTGGAGGGCTGAAAGGATTACGGGATCGGTTAGATGCCTCAATTTGTCCCGTAGTCCGGGCGTTTAGAGAAACGCGAGACACGCTGTCGGGCCGCGAGAAACGCGAAAGGTAAACAGAGTGGGCTGTCCGCCGGGAAAATAAGAGAATTATTCGCGCAGCGTGTTTGCTCGAGCGTTTATGTACGTACGCGTGTTACTAAAATGTTGCTCTCACCATTCTATTTCAGAGGTTTTGTGCCTCCCTAATTGTCGCGGATTTCGAGAGCCAGATCTGCTTTTGAACTTGCGGCTGTAAAATGCGACTGCTTTGTATCATTTTACAGCGCTTTCATGATTTGATTATTTCTTGATTGTTTAGTTAACGAGTTAACTCGTTATTTAACGACTCGCAATTAACTTCTGAGGGCATGAAATTCTCGTAGAATTTTAATGATGCATCTTTCGAGATGATACACTTAATGTATTTTAAAAATAAAATCGAGTATTTATAAAATACATCATTTCTGTTAACTGTAGGTTCGAGCATAACAGAACGTTGAATATTCGGGTAAAAAGAGGGTAGATAAACGGGGGGTCCATAAAGAAGATATTTTTTTGTAAATTCATTTTCGTGGATCGATCGAAGGCGTTAAAACGGCCGAGCAGAGTGAATCTCGCGCAACAGTTTCCTCGACACTGGATTTTGACGCAATGCGTCACATGGTTACTGTCACTGCTCGCCACTTCACTGTTCTTCGAAGAAAAAAAAAGAAAAAAAAGTCGACCTAAAAAACGCTGAATGCACACCTAGCACTCCGGCGCCGAATCCAGTCACCGTTCGTGACTATCATCCCCCAATCGTCTTCCACTTTTCCCTCTCTGATTAATCTACCAATATTCCTCCGATCGCTGGATCTTGTTACGCTTCCAATCAGTGGATCTTGCGGTTTCACGTGTGAGGATATTTATCTTATATTAGTATTTCATGGTAGATCATTAATTTTGTTTCATTTTTTGTTTCACTTATTTTTTTATTGGGGTAAAATTTTTAGGTTATGTAGTTGTGAGGGTTTAAATTTTAGTGCTGTTATTGTATATTTGGGATTTGAGGTAGGGGGATTTGGGGACGTGTAGAGGTAGGAATGTGGGGATTTGGGGATGTAGGGATGTGGAGAGGTAGGTTTTGGGGTGTGGGAATTTGGAATATTGGGATGTGGGTGAGTAGGAGCGGGAGAAATGGGGATTTGGTGATTTGGAAATCTGGGGAGATGGGAATGTGAAGGTATAGAGATATGGGGATGTGAGGATGTGGAGATATGAGGATGTGAGGATATGAGAATGTGAGGATGTGTGGATGTGAGGATGTGTGGATATGAGGATGTGTGGATATGAGCATGTGTGGATATGAAGATGTGTGGATATGAGGACGTGTGGATATGAGCATGTGTGGATATGAAGATGTGTAGATATGAGCATGTGTGGATATGAGGATGTGTGGATATGAGCATGTGTGGACATGAAGATGTGTGGAAATGAGCATGTGTGGATATGAGGATGTGTGGATATGAGCATATGTGGATATGAAGATGTGTAGATATGAGCATGTGTGGACATGAAGATGTGTGGACATGAAGATGTGTGGACATGAAGATGTGTGGAAATGAGTATGTGTGGATATGAGGATGTGTGGATATGAGCATGTGTGGATATGAACATGTGTGGATATGAGGATGTGTGGATATGAGCATATGTGGATATGAAGATGTGTAGATATGAGCATGTGTGGATATGAAGATGTGTGGATATAAGCATGTGTGGATATGAAGATGTGGGGATATAGGGATCTACAGAGCTAAGAATGTGGGATATTTAAAAATTAGGGATATGAGGATCTGGGGTATTAGAGATTGGGTCAAACAGCAACCTAATCTATAAACCTAAGGATTCAGGGATCTACTCTGGATATTTAGAGACTTAACCTAAGAATCTCCAAATTTAATATATAAGAAATACCAAAATCTAAAAACATAGGCCCAAAGATGTGAGGTGAGGACATGATGTCGAGATGTGAGGATTTGAGCAAATATAGCTACTATTGCCACAAAGTCAATTTACTGACAGAAGTAACAAAATACATCTGACTATAATTAAACTCTGGGAATAATTAAATTTTATTATTTGATGAGATAAATAAAGAAAAAAGAGTTAAATCTATAACACTGCAGACATGGACATCATCCAAATCCACATTTTACTTGTTCGGTTCGTACTAATTCGAACTATTAAAAAAAAAGTATCTTATCTCCCACCACGATTTCACTCCCTCTGCCAGAGGGATCCGTGGCTGACTGGTTCCGGTGGAAACGTGGCGTGTGGCCCGTAGACATCGGCGAGCCGCACCCACGCGCGCTATTTATCTCGTCGTCTGCCGAAGCCAAGTGCCAACAGCGTATTTTTTCGCATACCACACCTCCCTCTGTCTACCTCGCCACGATATCCTCCTCCTGTCTTGTCTTTCTTCTATTCGTCTATCCGTCTATTTCTATCCTAATCGTCTTGTGTTCCTCTACCTTCATCCTCTCCTCTTGTTCCCTTGGTAACCGCGCGTTTTTCCACGATTTACAAGGAACCGATGGTGCCACTTCTTAAATTTAGATTTTAACAAACGTGCTTTTACTTGAAAGCAGCTGTTACCGTACGGTGAATAATGAGGATTTGGGAATGCTAAATATCGCCTGAGCTGGTGGACGTACTCATCATGCGCACGAAATAAGATAATTAGTGATTTTGGTAGAGGTCTTTGGTTCTCTAGGTTTATACTTTTGGAACTAATTTCTGGAGCTGGATGTAGTTTTAGATTACTATAGGGCTATGATAACTAGGGCTATGATAACTAGGGATATGATGACTGTAGAGCTTTAGAGGACTCTAGGTTTCTGTGTTAGGTCCTACACATGTGGACCTTCATACTCTTAGGATTCTGAACCTCTAGTGTCCATTTCTAAATTCGTGGATCTCTGTATCACAATTTCTGGACCCTAGATATCTTCACTAGTAGATCTCTAAACCCTGGATCTCCACAGTTCTTAAATTTCTGAAGCCTTGGATCTCCACATTTGTGGATTACTACATCTCCTATAACCCCAGATTTCCACGCTTGGAGGTACCTATAACCCCAGATTTCCACGCTTGGAGGTACCTATAACCCCAGATCTCCACGCTTGGAGGTACCTATAACCCTAGATTTTCACGCTTGGAGGTACCTATAACCCTAGATCTCTACGCTTGGAGGTACCTATAGCCCTAGATCTCCACGCTTGGAGGTACCTCTAACTCCAGATTTCCACGCTTGGAGGTACCTATAACCCTAGATCTCCACGCTTGGAGGTACCTATAACCCCAGATTTCCACGCTTGGAGGTACCTATAACCCTAGATCTCTACACTCGTGGATACCTATAACCCTAGATCTCTACACTCGTAGGTCCCTAGACCCCCAGATCTCTACACTCGTAGGTCCCTAGACCCCCAGATCTCTACACCCCTCAAATCTCTACATTTCCAAACTTCTAAACCCCTAGATCTCTACACTCCTAAATTTGCAGATCCCTAAATTTCTATTCCTCCACATTTCTACGTCCCTAGACCCACATCATCTTGAATCTCCATAAATCCCTATTTGAACATTTCTACATCCCTAAATCCCTATATCTCCACATCCCTATAACCCCACATCCCTTATATCCTCTATATCCCTCTATTGCCTACACCAATAACCCAGCAAATAAAATGCAACCCACCAATGTACCCTCACCAGGGAAACACCCTGTGAGTCACACCATATTATCGCTTTCTTAGAGCTTCCACTAGGGGAGATTACAAAATACACTAGCAATTGTACATCGATATTTTTATAATTACGTCCCAAGAGTTAAACAAGTAATCCTCGATTTTTTCTGCTCTGACAGTCGTCGTCCTCAGTAACAGACACCCGATGGTAACACGTTTAAAACGGAACAAAGTTTACTCTCTTCGACGTTCTGGCAGTTGCGTTGCATCCATCATTCTGAGAAGTTTACCAAGGTCTGTTTCTCGACCGCCAAAACATGACTTGCCCACCGAAATATTCTGTTTTCTCTGAATTATTCAATAATAATAAATCGCCAGCCTCGTCCGACGATTTCTTTTTGTCGTTTCTTACTCTCTTGTAAACATTAGCAATTTTTAAATAAAATATGTTGATAAAAGTGGAATTATGATTATAGGGAAATTTTGTTAATTTTGGGTTGTAAATTTGTTTAGCTTCAATTTTGAGATTTGGACATAAATTAAGTTTAAACACATATGTGGACAATTAGTTTGTTTTTTAATTCAATTTTTAGATAAATTAAATTCAACAGTAGGTAATATAATAAGTTCTTTTAAGATTTATTAATATAATCCCCACAGACTTAAGATGGCTCTTAATTACATCATTTTGAATCACTTCTTTTCCTAACCTCAAAAGATCACAATGTCAAAATGATACAAATATACAAGTTAAAAAAATATTATAGAAATGCAGAATATTATTCAAACATAAAGTGGTAACATCTGAAATGATAATACAGTGTCTACATAAAAATACAATTTTTATTTTGTAATTTTAATTATATGAAGTGCATCATATGAATATATGAACATATGAAAAATATAAAAAATTTGTG